CTCCCTTCCCTCCCCTTCCCCAAATTCAGAAGTGTTTTCTGCCGTTAAAAAATTGCATTCCCATACAGCACTGGAGTAAAGCTTGGCTGTGCTCTATGATGAATGCTCAGTTCCCAGTGCACAAAAAAAATTATGGCAAATGGGAGGCTTTTCTGGCATCCAAAGAATAGAAGAGCTGCAGTCTCGGGTTTGATCTTTTTCTTTTTAAAAAAAGCAAAAAAAAAGAAAACAAAAAACCAAACAAACCAAGTTAGTGGTTCCTTCACAGCCATGCGCAAAGGTTAAGTCTAGAACCAAGAGTTTCAGAGTACTTTTGTAAACATCAAGTCTTGCCAGAGGCAGCAGAGGATGGGCACTTCACATTTCCGTATTAAAACAGGGACTGAGTGGAAGGTACGCTTTGAACACGTTTACGCAAGTCTTGCTAAATTCCAAGAAAGTGGAACAATCCGTCTCAAGTCTTAGATTCGAAGACTGTATTCCAAATTTGACCAAAAAAAAAAAAACACCCAAACAAAAAAAAACCCCAAACAACAAAGCCGTGTGGCACAATGAAGCTCCGGTACTGTTCCTCCAAGGCTGTGCTTTGCATATTCAAGGTTCCGAACGAATACCAACTGGGGCGTGTGCATATTGCTCTATGTTCAGATCTTGCAGTTTAAAAAAATTCTGGTTCAAATGGGTCTGTGTCAAAGGAAAAACTTGGAAATAAATAATGCTGGCATCATTTCACCATTTTACCAAAAAAACCTTGGGCTGGCAAGTAGATCTCCTTGAATCCGACCGTGCAGGTAACTGAAAGATAGAGGCAGTTTTGTCATGAAGGGCTGAGGTCAGGACAATCGCGGTTCCTGAGGTAATAGGTCTGAGTCCATCTCTTCGAACGCGGGGTCGACGTCGTCGCCACCGCCCGACTGTTCCCTCTGCACCCCCTTCCAGCTCGCCTTGTTCAGTCCCAGGTGGCCGAGCATCGTCTGTGACAGCCTCGTGTTGGAAAACCGGGCCCATTCCCCGAACAGCGGTTCCACTAGGTAGGTCATGAAACCTTCGGAAAAACAAGCAAATGAACATACCCAAGTGAAAAAAACAATGGGGAAAAAATACTCAAAACTAAGGATTTTAAATAAAAATGAGGAGCAAAAAGTAAACAATGTGTGAAACCACTCTTCTCCAATGGGCGTTTGAAAACTCATTCTGATATTTAGGGCATCTCTACCAAGATAGAAAAAATAATCAAAATGTAAAAGAATTTACCTGTCAGTCAAAAGAGCAGCATGATCTTGGATTACAAATTAACTTCCTTTCTTTTGCAAAAAAGAAAAAGATACTGAGGAACATGGGAGAGAGTGGGGAATCTAAATCAAGTCACACAAATTAACTGGAAAACCTAACTTCCTAAGAGAAAGATTTTATAGCAAATTAAGCCAAAGACAGTCTGAACTATATTATACAGGGAAAAGAAAGATGTTCTGTTCACGATATTAAGCTGATTAAAAACACTTAAAAATTACAGGAATTTTTAAACAAAAAAGCGACAGCAACACTCACACTTACATACGTGTCTGTGTGTATGCACGTGTGCACTTAGAGCGTCTATTTCCATGAACCAAAAATTCAACGGTAAGATGACCAAAATTGAATCTGTCAATTATAGAAATGTATGATTTTCTAACATTCTAAATTAAAACAGTGCAGCTGATTGAACAGATCAGGTTTTGTCTCTAATTTAAAGCACTGATTCATATGGTGTTTGTGGTGAAAATTTTTTTTTTAAACTGTGTTTTTAACCGAGTCCCATTTGATCTACATAAGCAACTTCACTAAAAATAACTATAGAAAGTCGTTTGACTATTTTAAATGCATCCCAAATTAGCAAAAAAATTTAGCACCATGGCTATTCACAGTCCTCCATCAAATCTCTGCCCACCACCCTTCTTAAGGCTGCATTTAAAAGGCATGCTAACATCCAAAAAAAGCTAAACCCGGAGAGCTGGAACACACACACACACACAGAGCAGGTACAACTTCTAGGAAATATATCTAAAAGGTACTTTTTTTTGGTTTTCCAAATTGTAGTAGAAAACTACTAAAATAAACTGAACTGTAGTTACCAATCTGGATGTTGGCAATGGTTTCTGTCTGTCGGTCACAAAGTGGACTCACACCCAAGTGATATTTTTTTTCAATATCTCCTAAAGAAATAAAAGGATAACACAACTGTTAGTGAGGCCAGACCCCGAAAGACTCATCAAATGCTCACAGAGGCAAGTTGTGCAAATTGCTTAACCAGGATGATATCATACAGCAGGCTGAATGCCTTTATGTTCCTCCTCCATCTCCCCCCCCGAAAAAAAACCCCGTCGGTCTGTCAGCAAGACTAAAAGTAATTTGGTGTGCTTTTTTTCATCATCAGACAAAAATTCAGGAAGAAACATCAAATCACAGGCTTCCAGAAGGACTACCATGCTTCCTTGTAAAATGTCCCACACTGCTGTAGAAATGACAAATTAAGATCCCCTCCTTAGCAATATGGAAAAAAAAGCAGCTTATAGCCCTTCAGAGATTTCTCACTAAAGCTTATTTTTATTGCTCTGCTTCGCTATCACCTTTATCTAAGAATAAGCTTCACAAGTTTAGCACCAAATGAAGAAGGCTGTTCCAAATTTGCCGTATCCATGCACAAATCAGCAGGTCTCAAGTCAGCTAAACTAACCTTAAAAGAAAGGAGAACACTCTATTATTAAAACAATTTAACAATAATGGGGAAAATTCACTGCGTTTGTCAGTTAGAAGTTTTATTAACTGCTTACATAAGTAACCTTAACTGCATGGTAACTAAAAATCTCCTCCCTAGCTCTTAGCTGCATACTTAACAGGCCTCACGACCAAAGTTTAAATATTGAAGATACCTAGTGAATACATTTCAGAATTTACCAAAACCACTATGCAAATGTAAAGTGAGCATAATTATTCACCCGAAGCACCTTTTGGGCTGAAGGATCTACTGAACCAACCATTCTACATTCAGATTCTTTGTTGGGTTTTAATAACACCGACCTTTTGCAAGAAATACAACCCATGGAAGTAAAAAAAAAATCCCATACTGTAAATCAGTCCTAAATATAAATCCCTTCATTTGCAAGCAGCTCTGACTCACGGTCGCTCCCTCCACAGCAGAAATACATTATGTACCCACAGCTACTTCTACCCTTACTTGCCTTGATGGAAGAACTCCTCTGTCACTTTTTCACTCCACTGCTTACTCAGCTCCCACGTCCGACAGGGATTACAAATATCAGCACACTTCAAAGCCATCTAGTAAGTTAACACACAGCGTTAGATTACCTCTCCCTCCAAAAGAAGCATCTCTAAGTATTTATTTCCCAAGGACAGTTTTGTAACAAACCTATCTACCATTTGTGCTTCTTTCTGAAGCTATGTTCTATAGTATTTTAAATAAAAAAAAAAAAAAAAAAAGCTTCGGGAACTATCAGATCTCATGATTGTCTCTGAGTAATATGGAAATTCGGTCAAGTCAAAGTATTGCAGGGGCACTATATTTAGTATATTCACTAATATAGGAGACAACAGTACATTCAGAAAAAGAAACATCGAACAGTATCCTGCATTTCTGGCCTGAGACTGGTTCTGAGACTGCCCTGGACTTATCAAAAGAACTAAACCCGGTCTGGGAAACACAACTCTCCTTGGTTTAGCAGCTCTAAGTTACCAGCCGAAACCCCACACATCATCGCTTGGGAGAACTGCTGGGAGAGGGGGAGACTGAAGTGGAGAGAACAATCTTTTTGGAACAAAACAAAATGACTAAAAGATACTTCTACTTTGTTTTGAAACTAGTTGGCTGCCTGGAAGCAGCAGTATTTAGTATTTTAAGAGAATTGGGTTTGACACTAAAATGACATTTTTGAAAGTATTCCCCAAAAGATCACCTGTAAAATGAAGTGACGATGGTTCGCGTTCTCTAAACATAAGTCTCCTCTATCCAGATGCGATCGAAACATGGACAGATACTCATTTTGCTGACTGATGTCTGTGGCAAGAATGAGATCCCCTATCTGGCTTTCCATCAGCTGCCTGAAATTAGCGATAGCAAACAATCAAGAAGCAGAACAATTAAGAACAACAGCCATCACTAGAGTTACATGTCCTGGTTTTTTTATATTCATTATTATACAAGTCACAAGCTTTATAATCAGCATTTTCATGTGACTTTCTTTTTCTTGTTTTCTCCCCTCTGAAAAATTCCTACAACGTTCATAGAAACATTAGCTTACAGGAATATAAAGTTTCCAGCTTTCCCCTTCCCCCCGTTTATTTCTTTTTTCTTAAGAATGCACAAACTAATTATTTAAAGTTTATTTCTTGTTAAAGTAGGTGAAGAGGGTCTATTTTAAACTGCAGTTGTGGTGACAGAACAAGAAAAGACTGCCAAGTTTAATCTGAACAGGTGCTTGACTATATGAATACATTTCTTCAGTGTGCTTACAGTAAATGTTATTTTCCACATATCACATTGCACCATGAACTGCTCTACTCCAACAGCACGATATCCGGGAATTCTTAAAATGGATCATAACCCACGTCTTGCATTCAGAACCACAAAGCAACGATTGAGCTTGCTTTGCAAGGCTGCCGTACTTCAGCGACAGCTTCCTTACATCTTAAAACTATTCTATGTTATGTGAACGTACCTGTTTTCTAGTGACATATGTGCAAATAAACCAGACTCTCTCAGCAACCCCACTGCTGATCTCCAGTGATGGTTCTCTAATACTGAGGTATTCTGTGAATGAAAAGGGCGTTACAGGGATCAATCCATCACTTCTCCTTGAACTGAAGAGCTACGTGCTAAGAGCGGTACCAGGCAGTTGCCCTGAGTTTTGGGGGTGGTGTTTTTCTTTCTCCCCATTGCCCCACAAGGAGGTTAAAACTCACAAATCTGAATTCTTCGTTAGCACTTTTTTTTTTATCTAAATGACATGGAAACACCTGGATTCAAACCTACCACTAGCTAAACACATCACAATTTATTTTCCTTTTCTGTACTCCACAGGCAATCTCCAAACCTCATTTTAACTGAACAACGGGATTTTGGCCTTACCTTATATAAAGTTGCTAAGTAATGGTTTGTTTTAATTAAGAAAGGTTGGTTAACGCCTGGGTGATCCAAATCGTGTGTGGCAGCTGCTATTAAACTGAGCAGAATATCCCATGGAGTTAAAGATTTAGAAAGCTGTAAGATAGCAACAACAAATGTAATTTGTTAGCAATGCAAGTATTGCCCTTACAAAAAGGGCATGGATGTCACAAATACTTTTCTTTCGTAGTAATTAACAGCAAATTGAAACTCCGAGAAACTTTTAATAATGTAAAACACTATTTCACTGACCTTTCACAGTGTTTCTCCCCCAAAAAAAGCTAAAAAATTCCAACAAAGGTTTCACCATTATTCTCTCTGAATGGGAAGGTTCAGTTGTAAAAATGCCTGCACACAAAATGCTACTTTCTGGCTGATTGGTAATGAAGTACTTTTCCTAACCAGATCTGGAAGACTTCAGAACTGTTCAGAATGGATTTCTATTCTCATCTGGAAAAATTATATTTCAAAGCTTACCAGGAAAAAAAATGAGGATTAAAAATTAAAAAAAAGTTATTTTCAGGATGTGCACATCAATCAACACAAAACTGCATGGACTTATTTTCACTGCTCACAGCTGTTCCTTGTTCTCTTTGGGAGGTTTGCTTGCACTAAAACAGAGAAGACAGTTCTGCCTGCGCAAAAGTGACGTGCAGCAAACACCCTGCAAGGACACAAGTTTATATTCCCTGTTGCATTTGTCATCTAACACGTTTATAATGAACTTTGGTGCAACAGAATCACTAGCTGTGTACACTGCTAACAATACAAAGTCTGTACTTATACGTGAAGCATTACAAAATTTCTATCACAAGTATTACCTAAAAAAATGCTCAGAGCTTCCAAACTTAAAAAATCCCCCACTCATTGAGTATCAGCTCTGATTTGGCTCAACTGCACCACCAATTGATCTGAGAGCAGCACTGAGAAACTGAGTGGGAGGAAGGGGCAAAGAGCCTCTAAACAACATCCATAGAGCCAGAACTTACTTGGTTTTATCTCAGAAGTAGAATAAAGAGCTTATGCTATTCAAGGGAATACCAGATTGGTGATAATCTGCATCAAGGTAGACAACATGTCTCACCTGGCTAGAGCATTATAATTTTCTTTTTAATCCAGGCAGACAGGATTTAGCCCTGAAATTACCCGACACCACTTACAGCAGACTGCCAGCAGTCCAAGTAGTAAGAAACAAAAACTCAACTAGCTCAGCTCTTTAAGGTCTGTCACACTGGCCTTGCTTTCTATAGAAAGTGCAAAGAGAACTCTTGAAGTCTCGCTACAAGGTGCCTCTAGCAGAAGCATACTTTTAATTAACACTGAAGATGAGCAAACTGAAGTTAACGGCAGTTTCTGGAGGAGAAAAAACCCCAACCATCGAACAAGCACACCCCACCCAATGAATATATTCAGGGTTATTACTGCCAGCTCTGACTCAGGCCACAATTCTATGTAAATGTCTTGGGGCAAAGTGCTACGTTAAGCAGCTGCAATCTTAACCAATACGCTTAATCTAGTTTTTGGTTCAACACGAAGTCACACAAAAGACAACCTCAGCTCAAAAGAGGGGAAAAAGGAAAAGCATACTGCTCAGTGTGAACCGAGGATCTCAGTGACACAGAGTTAATTCCCTGCCCCTTTGTGTTTCAAAACATTTGGGGGGAGAGGGTTGGGGGTTTGTTTTTAATAAGAAGTGTACGCACCTGCATATACATATATACGTATATAGGCACACACCGTCCATTTATACACACACACAAATACCTGTATTTCTGAATGCACATGTGATGTAAAAGTGAGAACGTTCCCTTACCTTGGGCTCTTTTAAGTAACAGTGCATGGCCTGAGTCACATCAGCAGCATGAACTGCATTATGATAAGGGTTTTGACTGTGATAATCTTCTTGAACCATAACTGCAGGGAAATAACAAATATCCAAATTTAAATAAAATAGCAATCTTTTCAAGTACCATTTTATATGTCCTTGTTAGGCACAGAAATATGCAATATCACAAGCTACAAACACATAAAAGCGTCAAAGTCATCATCAGTTGAATCATGACAGACATAAAAGGTTTTCATGTGAAGAAACAGTATTTTCTAAAGGAAATCAACTATGTGCAAAGTCACCTCCCAGCAAAAATCAAACAACTTGGAAAAAAACACATAATCTGAGATTCTTTGACTGTGAGAGCTTCTTAGGAAAGGCTCCCTTTGGTAATCTGGCCTGCCTGAATGTTGAGGCAACCTGGAACACCAAATGAAGATGACACTATTTACCAAAGCCTCAGGATTACTTCCTATCACGCCTTGAAAACAGACAGGGGCAGAGGACTCAGGCACTGCCTTCCTGTCACACCAAGTGATTTTCTTTCCCCTTTGGGAGGGTGGTCATGGAAAGCCACCCATTAGGCATTTCCTCACACTCGTAGTCATGCAAATTTAGGCCCATGTGTAATTTAGAAAAGAACTGTATCCAGGTGATGCTCTGACTAACCACTCCTAGATTTAGTATTCTCTATTTAATTTCTTCCTTGCTTTCCTCCTTTTTCCTCCATCTTCCTAGCTGCCTTTCAAATATTTTACTTATAGCATTTAAAGGATATCAACACTAGCTCAAGTAGGTAGAATATAAAACTATGATGTTCAAGAAGATGGAGGGCGAGATGATCTGCAGCAAAAGCAGTCAAACTATATTCTAAAGTTTTGCCTGATAGGACACATTAGCTCTTTCAAGCAAACCTCAAAAGAACATTTTTCTGGCTGATCCTCCACGTAATTGTGACTGTAATGTTAGAGTATTATTGCCATGGTCTTTTTGAAGAGCTGTGGTTCATGAAAAGTCAGAATACTGTAGCCATTGTGTCATTTCCACAGTACTCAACACACAGGCTGACACCTCATAGGGAAAATAATGAAAATGAACATCTTTGGGCTCTATTAATCTGCAGTAGAACTCCCTTTCACATATTCATTCCTCACATCCAGTGCATAAACTAGGAAGTTCCTGGCTTACTCCTCAATTTTTTGTGGCTTATAGGATGGTCCAGCTACCTGATGTCTACAGTCTTCTCCAATTATTTATTTTAATAAAGCAGACCTAGGCCAGTATTTTGATTGTGGTCTGCCAGAACCAGAATAGCACAACTACCTTACGCTTCCTGGAAAGTAGTACTTTTATCTTTCCCTGTTTGAATCTGGAATAAGAACTTGAAGATATGCAGTAGAAGGAGACAGATCTCCAAGTAACCTTTGGAAATTGCAGAAAGACTGTGTATGTGTATAAACAAATGTAAATATATACACATACATATGTGAGATATATATATATACACGTACAAAAATAAAATGTTGAGATCCTACTGAGGACTAAAATCAGATTTCTCTCCTCAAAAAGATTCCAGTAAGTTTTCAAATAAAGTGAACTTTGTGTGGCACTATGGACCACTTGAGCTGTCCTTGTCTTCTGGAATTTGATCTTCAGATTACTTTGGACTAGGGTAAAACAGAGAGCAAAAGAAAAGCACTCTCATTTAGTGACTTATGGCTTTGAGTAGTCATATGTAGCCAAGACTGTTGTTATCTTTTGATAAGTTAACTACTCCAGTCCCTCCTAACTGGTCCTTCACTTCAAGTACTGTCATTTGCTACATCTCGGCTCACCAGGAAATAAACAAGATGAGAAAGACAAAACACAGTCAGTTACAACCTGAGTAGCCTAAGATTTCTATAATTTCTTTACATTCCAATGTATCAGCTCTCAAAGTCAGCTGATCTACCTTTTTGAAACTGGAAGGAAATGAGTCCACTTTGAAACAACATGAAATGCAAGACAGAAAGGAAATTTTCAAAAACTGAAAGAGAAGTAAGTGATGAAAACAAAAACGTTCCTTTATTCGAAAGAGGAGGAAAGCCTTGCAAATGCGGTTTCTCCCCTGTTAAATTACAGGCTTTGTAACCACAAAATTGCCTCTGAAACTGTGAAAGCCTGCTAAAAGGGACCAGAAACTTTTTTCTCCTGCTCAGTTAAAAAGAAAACATTCCACTCCATAAAATCAGCTAGAAGGTGCTGTCACAGAGGAACCGAAGGGACAAAATCACACCAGCACCTGTGTCTGTGGCATAGGGATGCAGATGGTCAGCTCTTCCAGCTGTCAAATTAAAGTACCACTTGGTTTGAATATTCTACACTGTATTCACAATTCTTTCCACAGAAGCATTCCAGTGCCATCAGCCCCAGCATTCAGGTAAAATTGTCTTATGCTCTGTCCATGGAGAAAGTATGCCCACAGTACAGTGCTTATTGGTAGGAGAGTTTGAGTAAGAATGAAATAAACATCAAACTGGCATCATTAAGTATGGCGAAGCTGGCACATTCGAAACAGTTAAGAAACTATAAAATGAACTTCGGAAATTAAAACAGAACTGAAAATCAAAACAAAGAAAGGAGCTGTCTAGCCTTTCCCAACAAAATGTCACACAATGGCACATACACTTCTGATTAGATTTAATAAATACAACACAGCATCTGTTAATACTTGCTTGAATTTAAATCAGAGCTCTCTATACTCCCAGAAAGTTCGAGAGATTGTCTCAGTCAACACAATTTAAATCACTGCACAATCTGGACAGTACTCTCCAGACCTTTCTGCTTAACTATAACCAGCACTTCAGTTACGGTATAAAAATGCGGATAAACAGCAATATTCATCATAATAAAAAGCTGTATTTACCCAAAAATCTACGAAGTTTCATCGTATCTAACTGGAAGTGTTCAATTAGTCCATGAAGATTAAACAGATGAAAGGTTAAGCTGACTAGACTGTTTCCTAAAAATAAGATGAAAATACTAATTCATTGGAAGCCTTGAAACCAGTGACTCATAAGAAATGTATTATTTCAAGCAAATTGGTCACAAAAATTATACAAGCAAAATTCTCTACATCGTTTATGACAAATATTTCAATATTACTGCATGACAGGATTCCATTAGCTATCTCCTCTAGTAATCGTCAATGTCTTTGCATAATTATAATACATTCATCGATTATCCACTGTCAACTCATAGGAGGAAAATGTTACTGAACATTAAAAAAAGCAACAGGTTTCAATATGCAAACTGGTTACAACAGTATTCAACTTTATAAAGATCATGATGCAACACACCACAAGCAGAAATAAAGCTTAAAACTGAATACAATAGCAATCAGGTGAAGAAAAAAAAGCTGAACAACACTATTAGCATACACTGTACATACGTTAACTCTCATTTTCATCATGTATTGTGCTAAACTACTCCTTATTTCACCTAGAACGCAAAGAAAATGTTTGTTTCCTCTGAGAAATGCATACTCTTACAAGCCTACGATATACTTTGTCTATTCATAGCTACAGCATCACTTGCAGTCTTGAAACTAGTAATACTGTAAGACAGAGAAACCATCTTTAAATATTTATTTCAAATAGCTTGTCTATTATTTATTCTGCAAACAATATACAGTTGCAGATAACTCAGTTTCAGTACATTGACTCTGACAATCCTCAATTTATCAGGAATTAAAGAACCCAGCACAGAAACTGGGGTACAAAAGGCCAAAAATATCTGCTAAATCAATCTTATTACTAGGCTTAATGTATTTGCCTGCCACTTCCTCGCAATAAGATACATGACTCTTTGAACAATATTTGCCGAGTAATTTGTTTCTTACAGGCTCGTCCAGGGCAGCTCATTGAGTAGCACTGTACATACAGCATTCTCCCCCTACAAACTTTCAAGAACAAAACTGCCTGTTCTCAAAGTCTTCCTGAGATAGTTAATTTAGGATGCAAAACTGATGGTATAGGAAGGCTTCTACAACAGAAGCTGCAGTGGTAGTATCTAAGCTTTATTCAAAACATTTTTTAAAAAAAGCACATTGAAAAGGTAGAGAATGTCTCTTATAGGAAGGATGACTTCAGATTATTCCCATCTGATAAACTAATCCAAAATAAGCTCTGCTTACAAGCAAGTTAACTGAATGAGAAAAAGCTATGTGTGCCCGTTATGTAGCCTGAAGTTTATCATCACCTATATAAACCTTTTACTTTTAAAAATCCTCACTGTTTTCATTTTTCCTATCCCTTTTCTGTATTAAATCAAACCATGAGTATACTACTTTTACACCAGATTAAGCCAAGCATCCCTTCAAACAGAACAGGAGAGAAAATTATCTTTTGGCACTGTTTTCCTTTCTGAACTTCATCTCTCTTTCTGCCAACTTTAAGCACTCTAACTGCATCTCTGCTACCACCTCCACTTGACCGATGCAAACACCCCAAGAGCTGCCCTCCGTTTGCTTCCCACGCTGGCCCCAACGTCACCGTGATGCTGGACTTGCTCATCATCTTCTTCCATGCTATTCAAAGCTCAGCTTCCATTGCTGGGATTACAACACAAAACTTCACCCTACCCACAGCAGGAGCCCTCCCTCCTCCTTTCCTCATCTCTCTTCTAAATGCCTGTCCATAACTTAAAACAGTACTTGGCTTAATCTTTTTTCAACCAACTACTTCTTTATTTCCTACCGCTGTCTGTAACAAGTGCGCAAAATTAACCAGGATATTCTCTTCCTTTTTCTATTTTGTGCAAGCTCTGCGCACAGCAGCTTTGGTCCACTCAACTCCCAGCTCTCTGGGTGCTCCATTCTATGTTGTGATTGGAATGCATTCATACGAACATGCCTTCTTCTCGTACTGAATCTCTAAAGTAATACAACTGCTCTATGTAATATTAAATTTAATGGGAAAAATACTTGTTCAATAAACAATTTTTGGACAACCATATAAATTACCAGTATTCCATAATTTAAAAAGAGACTAAGATAGAAAAATTATTTGTTAATTTTTATCAAATTACTACTTCAAATTACTGAGAGAACAGCAACCTACAAAGAACGGCCTCTTATATACATCACTGATGATTATTAGTACTGGCAGTAACAGTAAACAGTTACCAGGCAAACTAGTATTTAGATTAAAGACTATTAAATCAAAAACTGCTACCTGATGAAATTTGTGCTTTTTAGTGAACAAGCAATCACATACTGCAACATAAGAGCAATAGTTATGTTAAGAGATAAAACACAAATGAAATAGCAAAAGTAGACTCACCGTTTGTCAGTCTATCAAAAAGAAAAATATCAAAATTCCAATTTCCAACCTTCTCCAGCATACACTGAAAGAAAAGACAAAAGCTGTCATTTTTTTTTTCTCAGTAAACATCTACCTTCCCACAGCCCAGAGGAGTTTTTATGATTTCAGAGACATGTGAAAGTCTTATGATTTCTATAATTAAATTCATCTGATAACTAAAAAACTTTCAAAGTAAAGTTACAAATTACAAAAATGGACAAAAACACACTAAGTCTCTTGATAGAACCGGTTGGAGATTTTTCTTTCATCCTTCTGTCAATTTCTTAAGACACAATCTAAAACAATTAGGGTACAAGGAGAAACACTACGGCAGACTGACTCTGTATTCAGACTTTTTCCACTTTACTTTTTGCAATGAGGTAGTAAATTAATCTGTGTAGTCCTCATTTACATCATTCTTTCCCTTGTTGTTCATACAAGAGAAATAGTATCTAGATGCTTTGCTACACAAGTCAAGCTTTTAATTTCTATTTTAAGAAACTGGCTTTTGACTCCCCATCTCACTGAACTAGCACTTCACGGCTGCTCTACACGAACTGTTCTTCCAGCAACAGGGATGAACAAGAACAGCAAACTGCACCCAAGGCCTCACTAGAGCTGAGCAGTCACAATCTTTGCCTCCCCTACCAGTATCTACCTCTACAGCTGTTCAGCACATTTTACAACAGATACTTGCATCCTCCTATTGTCATTAGACTGGTAGAGCTGTTTCGTGATCCAGTTATATGTTCTAGCTTTTCTCCACTAGCCGCTAAGAAGAAATAAAGGCATTAACAAGATCTTTTTATGATTAAATTACATGCACATTTAAAAAAAAATGGGTTATCAGATTCTTACTACACTATGGCTTGATCAAGTTAAGTATATTCCTTGTCTGTGTAAAGATTACAAGCACAAAGCACTACATGCTATCAGCAAGATGACACAGCCTTTGGGATCTTGAATAACCCAAACAACCTTTTCCTGCTCACTCCCCCTTCAGCACTTGCCCTCTTCTGTCCCCAGTACCCCAGCCTTCCACCCAACCGGCTGCTCTCTTAGTTCTGCCCCTCTTCCTAGTACCTGCTTCCCCTGCTTTGCCATAGCAGAGGCATATTACAGCTATCATACTTGTCCTCTCTAGAAAAATTGCCTACCAAACAAAAAGCCAGTTTGGCATAACAATCTTCTCATAAATCCACTGACTGCATTTTATCGAGTTTTCAAAAGAGGACAGTCACTCTTCCAGATGTTCATTAGTGAGGTTAGACTAAAAGTGGGAGGGAGAGGGGGGCAACAGTTGTCTAAACTGCACCACTACATTTCCTAAATACAGATGTGCTTTCCTTTCTTAATTTTTTCTTCAACTATTAGAGTGCATCCTCCATTCACTGAAGTTATTCAAAAACCAAACAAAACCACACTAGCCACCTAAGCTCTAAAAACTAACCTTGCGGGTGGTAAAGGAGTTTGTAAGAAACCACGTAATTTTGGGTGGACTTCATGAAGTTATATACATACATACACACACTCAAAAATACATCTATATATATATAAATACATGCTTAAAATTTGTATTTGGTTGCATTTTTAACATGAGATATATTGTAGCAAACATTTTAAAAAACATACTTTAGAAAAAACAAAAATCAAGCAACCAACCTTTGCTTGTCCATTATAATCATCATCTAAAATGTTTGAAGAATTTGGAACAGTGATACCACGGAAAAAACGGGAAGATCTCAGGTATCGCTGGAAACTAAGCAACCTTCTCACATTTCTCGCAGACACAGACACTTCGATTTCAGAATTTGCTACAAAAAACAAGAAAATAAAACACTCTCTCTAAAAAACCTTTACCAAGAAGAAAACTGTTCAGGGGAGGCGATGCAATTCTTTTGTGTATCAAATGCTTCAGCCATAAATACAGATACTTCTACAATTTTAAGAACAGAGCCATGGCTTAGAAAAGGAAGGTTTCTGTGTGAACATCCTGTGAAGAAAAACAGGTATTTAAATCACAGCTGAAACAGCTTTTTGAGGAACTCTGTTACTGAAAGGACCGAAATATCAGGGAAATCGTGTCAAAGCACACACGGTACCGTGAACAACTTCTTTTTGGAAAACAGCTCTCATGTATACACACCCAACTCAAGTCCCCAGCATTTCACAAGTATACCCACACCAGCAAGAGACTATCAGTAACTGTGTGTTGATACAGGAGTTAGAAGTAGTTCTGAGCACATACAAAGAACAGTTACACAAATTTTAAAGCTCAGAAACTCTCTTTACTGGTGAAGTTTTAAATGCACTCAAGCGATATTTGTGCTTTTGCAAATATGCTCAGGACCTCTCCTCTGCCAAACAAGTATCACGTTTACTTTCGCAGCACATGTAACTCCTTTTCCCAGTACAGTGAAAACACGATAGAGAATTATTTTAGCCCATTTTTAAAGATTAATCCAAATATTTTGCTTTTTATTAGGTTAACTGGTTTATTCAAATGACTGATACTAGCGTACATTCAATTCTACGTGATATACTTGAAGCGTTTTAGAATCCTGAAGATGAAACCACGCGTAGCTACGGGTTCTTTGCAACAGGCCAAGTATTTTCATTCTGAAACACATAAGACTTAACTTGGCCTTTACTTTCTTTTCAGCAGTACCCCCAACAGCAGTTTTATATAAGCAACAGTCTATAATCTTGATACTCCCTTATTCTGCCCAAAACTACTTATGAAAGGAAAAAGAAAATAGGTATTCAGTCAATGCAAACCTGCTCCTTTCCAAAAATGCAGAACCTCAAAACCAACATGAGCCCAACTTTCTAGTATAGTCCTCTTGTCTTTCCAAGACCAAGGCATGTTGGAAATAGGAGGAAGCAGTTACAGTTTTTGTTCTTAAAATCAGTCTAAAATACTCTAGAGGGGAAAGTATAGTATTATTAATAACCTCAATTAAAACCTCAGTGATTTCTAGTGAAAGCAGTTTAATTCCATAAGATGAATCTTTTTCCATATAAATTCTTCTCCCTGCAGAAGTTCCAACATACTTTCTGTTCTACATTAACTCAATGTATTAATTTCCAATCTATACCAATAAAACACCTCTGAACAGAACTGACAATTCCATAAACCAAATGCAGCAGTGTTTCACATCAACAGTCTGCGCTAACAGAGATTAAAGTGACAAAACCAAAATATTCTGTCAGACATGCCTGAAGCATTTCAAGGTACTGAAGTTCCCATCAGTTTCAAAGGGCTAACACAGACAACTTCACATGACTCATCTTTCTTCAGATCACTACACTTAAGGGCCAAGGGCACTGACTCTGAAGACACTGGTACCTATAGATCCCAGTTACGTAAGCAGGTGCACTATATACGATAAAGGTTGCGTATAAAGCAACATTCACATGTACAGCAGGCAAGCAAATCAATTCTGCCATGCTGCACTACTCTACCAATATTTCTAACCATGTTCATTACCATGAGGTTATGGCCTAAGCGCTGCCAGCCTGCAGAACACAGATGCAGGGAGCAATACAGGTCCTCCTGTTAATGGAGCATAGGCTTCAGTTAAGAAGCTTTTCCTCCTCAATCTTGATCCAGTCCCTTAAAACCCAACTTTCAGAACTTATTTTATTCCAAATCTAATTACTTAAGATGGTTATATTTAGGTGATAAGGTGATCTAAAATGTCTACTAGATCACATACAAAACAGGAGCTTCACTAAATCTCAGTAAAACAGAATATTTAAGCAGAAGAAGTCAAGGACCCACAGAATGTTTTGAGATGGAAGGGATCTTTAAAGGTCATCTAATCCAACCCCCCTACAAGAAGCAGGAACATCTTCAACCAAGTCAGGTTATTCAGAGCCCCGTCCAACCCATCTCCAGGCATGGGGCTTCTAGCACCTCTCTGAGCAACCTGTGCCAGTGTCTCACAACCCAAATTGTCAAGGTGGGTGGTGAAACACTGGAACATCTAGTCCAACCCGCCCTTTTCAATAGATCAGGTCAATCTAAGCCCCACCCATCTGACCTTGAACACTCTCAGTGATGGAGCTACTACAACGCCCCTGGGTAAGTTACTCCAGTGCTGGCTCACTCCTCCAGCCTGTCAAGATCTCTCTGACTGCCACCCTGTCTCTCCAGCACATCAACCACACCACTCAGCTTGGTGTCACCTGCAAACCTCAATCCCACTGCCTATGTTACTGATGAGGAGAAGATTCAAAGCCTTATTTCTGTGCTCCAAAGTCTCAATTTAGGGACCATAATCTCATTTTAAGGTCCAAAGTATCCTCTTTAGGGTTCAAAGCCTAATTTATGTTTTCCAGACCAAAATTTTAAGTGTCCAAATAATCATTTTAAGGATGCAAAGCCTCATTTTCAGGAACAGTGCCTCATTTTTTGCTTCCAAAGCCACATTTTTATGACCCAAAGCCTCAATTTCAGGAATTAAAGCCTCATTTTTAGCATTAAAAGCTTCATTTGTGGCATCCAAAGCAGCACTTCAGGGTCCAAAGCTTCATTTCCAAGCCTCCCGTTTCAGGGCCCACGCTTTCATTTTCAGGGTTTAGAAATCTATTTTTCAGTCCCAATCCCTTTTACAGACCCCCTGAAGTATTTGTTCTCTTTTCCCCCTTGAGGTCCCAAAGCACCGGGGCAGGAGAGCAGGCAAGGCAGTTGTGTACTTGGGTTGCACCAGTGAGAGGTGAGCAAGAACAACCCTCAGGCACGCAGGATTAGTAACAGCAATTTGCTCTCAACGGGGGCTTAGTCCACGTGTAAACTCAGCACCGATCAAGACATGACACGGAGAGGTGCCAGTTAATCCCAGAGGCCACCTACACTGCACCCCCTTCCACCGCCTCCTCTCCATGAACTGTTTTCCGGGCTCTTCCATCTCCTGCATCTCAGATCCCTGCGCTCTGGCTCAGAGGGAGACTGGCGACCCTCAGGGCAGCCACAGGCACTGCCCCGACCTTTGGTTGTGGGGTTGTCACTGGGCCCACTCCAGCGTCAGCAGAAACCCTAGGCCTTGCCTGGGCCTATCTTTACCCTACCCTACCCCTGTCCCTGGCCTCCTCACGTCCTCCCAGACGTGGCTCTCCTCATGCCCCCTGGAGGAAATCAGCACTCTTCTGGAACTACAGATAGTTTTCTTGATCATTAAGTACTCCTTTACAGTTCTCTAGTTAAGAAAAAACTACTTTTGTCTTCATGCTACAAATAAGTGTCACTGCCACAGATGCTGCCTGTTAAATCTTTGGCAGAACAGTATGATGTAGGTAATACAAGGAAAACAATAGCTTTTGTCAGCAAAGAATCACAGAACCATAGAATTGTCAGGGTTGGAAGGGACCTTAAAGATCATCTAGTTCCAACCCCCCGCCATGGGCAGGGCCATCCCCTACTAGACCAGGCTTCTCAGAGCCCCATCCAGCCTGGCCTTAAAAACTTCCAGGGATGGGGCTTCCACCACCTCTCTGGGCAACCTGTGCCAGTGTCTCACCACCCTCATGGGGAAGAACTTCTTCCTAACATCCAATCTGAACCGATCCATCTCCAGCTTCACTCCATTCCCCCTAGCCCTACCACTACCCTACATCCTAAAAAGCCCCTCACCAGCTTTCTTGTAGGCCGCCTTAAGCTCCTAGAAGGCCACAATAAGGTCTCCTCGGAGTCTTCTTTTCTGCAGACTGAACAGCCCCAACTCTCTCAGTCTGTCTTCACAGGAGAGGTGCTCCAGCCCTCTGAGCATCCTCGTGGCCCTTCTCTGGACACGCTCCAGCACGTCCAGATCTTTCTTGGGCTCTGGGCTCCAGAACTGGACACAGTACTCCAGGTGAGAGCAACAGCACACAAAAATACAGCAATGTGGCAGTACAGGCCTGTGTTTCACCTATATTTGTGTTCATAAGTCATTTGGAAGGGTTGCACATGTTTTTGCTTCAGTACTTTTTCTGATGATGATGCAGGCACAGAGGCAAATAAATTACTCAGTTTTCTGTGAAGCTTTGCAATTACTCTTTGCAATATGCTATTGAGACACTCATCTTAAGAAAGTTTTTAAACTCTGAATTATCATCACTTGATATAGTCTGTAAACCACTACTCTTACTTAGTAGGCTTACTTTTTCTCTCCCTTATTAAAAAAAAAAAAAGAAGAAAAAAAGAAAAAAGAAAAAGAGCACTGCTCCAGCTGATGTATTTCAAAAAAAAACAAGAAAGCCTGAAGCCCACTTCATTCCAGCTTTCCTTGAGGCCACGCTGCTATTGAAAAATCTCAGAATGGCCGAGTTAAAAAAGAACCTCTGGAGGTTTTCTGGTCAAACCCATCTGCTCTAGTGGGGCTATCTAGACCACACTGCCCAGGACCGCATCCAGGGGGCCTTTGAAGATCTCCAGAGATGTAGTCTACATAATCCCCCTGAGTGCTCAGTCACCCTCACAGTGAAGAAGTGTTTCCTGCTGTCCAGAGGAAACCTCCTGTGCCTCAGTTACTGCCCACTGCCTCTGGTCCTGTCCCTTGGGACCACTGAAAAGAGCCTGGTTCTAGCCTCTTTGCACACTCTCTTCAGGTATTTAATATATGTTGGTTTAAGACCCTCCGTTAAGCCTTCACATCTCCAGGCCAAACAGCCCCAGGTCTCCTAGCCTTTCCTCATCAGCCCCTTAATCATCTTTCTGACCCTTCATCGGACTCTGTCCAGTACATCTATCCTTCTTGTGTACTGCGGAGCCCAGACCTGGAACCAGTGCCCCAGATGTGGCCTCACCATTGCTGAATACAGAGACAGGATG